ATAAAGAAAAAAAGAGAAACAAAAAGTAAAAATATTATGCTATACAAAAACAAGAACGCATATCTCTAGTATTCAAAATTACTCATCTGAATATTAAATTCTAATTGGTTCATCTATGTGATAGTGATATACGTGTTTGTTGTCTTGTCTTAGTTGCATATCAACAGATGACTTGCTAAATTAGGAAGTAGTACAAACTTGCAGATTCTTTGTCAGGGGTTCACCAAATCCCCACTTTTTATTTTTCAGTATAGAGAAATCCAAAGGTCCAAAGGGAAGACAGTAGTAGTGCCAAAAAAATTTAAAGAGAGTATGTATTTTCCAAAATCTACTATCCACTTGTATTCATCTAGAGTATAACCAGTACTTATCTTTTGTGAGTGAGTGATAAACTCTAAGCTTGTCAGCAAGTAGTGTATAAGAACTACTTCTAAACAACAAGTGCCACTATGATATTGCAGTGAGTGATAAACTCTAAACCTGTTAGCAGATAGCATATAAGAACTATCTCTAAATAACAAGTGCTGTCTTATTTTCTCTGCATTGTTGCTCTTGTGTTTCTACAAAGTTTATTGTATATTTTTAAAAAAATAAGTTGGAAATTTTTGGTACGAGAGATCATCAGAAAGAGTTCCCTCTAAAAGTTTTTTCTAACAAATATAATAGTAAAAAATATAAAGTTTAAATAATTAATAAAAAATATTTAAATGCAATTGAAAGCTTTCAAATAAAGTTACCTTTTATAATTTAAACTATTGGATTTTAAGTACTAACCTCACATAAATCTGAATATTATATTTTAATCAATTCATTTCATAAAAAAGATATAGGCCAAAATTTATATACTTATAATGATCAACCCATTCGCAGCCTATCAATTCTAAAATTTTGAAAAGCTGCTTAAAGTATAGGTCTTGTTGAGATGCTATGATATAATACATAGTATTAAATTTGTATTGTTCATATCACTCCATAGCAGCACCAATATCTCGAGTAATATATAAGATTGTACTATCATTCTTTTGAATTATCGCAACATCTAATTTATATTTGCCTAAATTTGCAATTATTACACTATTGATTCTGTAGCAATATTTTTCTCCTTGAGTATTTTCAACACAAGAGAAATTTTTTTATTACTAATTTGTGATTCACCAGAATAAATATCAAAATTAACATTAAGATAAGCATAAGTATCTTTGTATCTTTCTATACTAAGATTTTTAAACCTTTTCCATAATGCAAGTGTGGATTCATCACCTTAAAAGAAATAATTTGAATCATGTTTAATATATATATTGCTTAATTCTATAAAATTTAATTTCGTGTAAACATACCAGTTTCTATTTTTTTGAAATAAGCACAAGCCTGATCATCTATATTAGAATCTTTTACAATATCAGCCTAATATTAATATATTATAATTTTATTAAATATAGTTAAGTTCGAATGTTTTATGACCTTATTAAAAACAATAAAACCTACATTAATTTTGATATACACATCATATAGATGTTTAATTAGATTTTTAAGTAA